ACAACCTATAATATCACATCACCTCAAGTAAATACAAAAAATAATTTTAAGAATTGTGAAAACACTGAAATCTAAAAACCATTGACGACTGAACCATTGTTGCGGTTATTGAGTGAAAACGATAGGTATCAATCACTGCTATTTTGTGCCGTAATGACAAAATAAGCAAAACAACGAATATAAATCTCAAAAAGTTTGAACGACACTTATTTGCTTGTTGTTTTGTGAGAAAATCGATTACAATGTTTGCGGTTTCTTAAGGAAAATATATTTATCACAAGTCTTATAATATGCGTATCAAGATTGTAAAGAGCGAAAAACAATATTTTTCGAGAGCTTAATCATGTTGTAAAAGTTAAAAGCTTTCAGAGAAAATTTGAGTGATACGAGGATTTCACTATAAAAAGTATATAATATCTTCTCTTCCCGTTACAGTGTAATGTTTCAGTCCCGTGACGTTTTAAAAATACTCATGTTATACTCACACATAATATTATACTGCGCATGTGCGTATTTTTAGTCGAGTATAAGTACTAAAAATATAATAATACATCAATAATATTACGTACATGTTATACGTTCGGAGAACGCATATTGTGTGCATGCGAAACGACCGCGTGATGAGCAATATCGATCTTAAGGCAAATCGTTAATATAATATTATTATAACATACGTCCTACTACAAAGGAACTTCACGTTCAAACGAAAATTAAATCCAATTAGCCGTCTTCGAATATAATATAATATTATATCTGCAGTGTAACCGGTATCATGTAGATACAACTTGCCCAACTATCGACTTTCGAGTACCCAAACAATAATAATATACAATATCCCAATAATCGGTGTCTCTATATAATAGGTGTCTTGTTTTAATGTGATTATATCCAAAAAAGGTTCTCGTCGTAGCCGCGGAATGAATTTTTAATGTACTTACCTATATAATATACTATTAATATTATTTAGAGTGATTCGCTCTCGTTTTCGGCGCAAAAATATTATAATATATACGCTAACATTTGAAATTTAAAACTATGTACGCAATGAAAAGTCAATGAAGATAATAATATTATAACAATACCTATTATTGTACTTGCATTGAAATTGCATCGAAATTGCATTTAAATATATTATGTGTATATTATACATAAACTAATTTGTATTTATTGATTCAAACGACTATTATACATAGATACTTATTTTATCGTAACGATTTGGCTTGGGTTGCAATGCAACACACAATATCATTGCTAAACTAATACATTCATCACTCCGCTCAGAATCTAATAAGGAATGACGTGTTATATACTAAACAAATAACGGGTACAAGTAGAACAAATCAAATTAAAAAATGTTATTTATTTGCAAAAATATACATAATAAAAAAAATACATCCTTTTTTCTGTAAAAAATTGAACGACAAATTGATTGTTTCGAAATAAAATTCTAAATAAAAATCACACCAAATTGCAGTGTAAGCTTGTGCTCCGTTATGGATCTAGGAGGGTGACGTAATTCCCCTAAACACTGTAGTGATGTATTATGTTATTTCTGTCATGTTTTGTCCCCCCCCCCCCTCTGTGCTGGTTTGTAAACGGATATTCATATTTCCATGCTATGTTTTTGGTAAACAATGTACGACCATAATTTTTTTAACAATGTTTGCCAGGTTATTTACATAGTACATCATTAATTACTAATTAGGTTTTAAATTTTGAACTTTCTATGTTTTTTTTTTAGTTTTTATAAAATCGGACATACAACGAGTAAAATTTGTAGTGTACTGTCAATATCAATAGAAGAAATTATATTGTATATACACATCATGTTTCCAAATATAAATTGTATGTACATATTAATATTATGTATGATCTGGTCGAAGGGGGTGGACTAAATTCCATACATATCAGCTTTAAGTACTACATCCTAGGGGCATATTATATATTGTGTACAAACATGTTGCAAATTGTTTTGCCCATCTTTCCACAGAAAAAAAAATTGAACCCCCCTATCCGCCTCTAGCATACTTATTGTACACGTGCTTCAATATTTCGAGGGCAATATAATATTATACAAGCTTGTGACGGCACATAAAATGTACCTATTTTCGTTATCTACTCGTTGGCGGTCGTCTCGAGTTTCCTCGTTTCCCACTGACCAACGCAGCTTTGTTTGCTACACTTAAAAAAAAGTACTTCCGACAGCGGACCGGACGCGGACGGCGTACCACGACTGCACTCGTGTTGTGGGTCGATCAACGACGACGACCATGGGAGAACAGGTCTGGACCAGCCTTATGTGCTAAAAAATGACGACATTTATTGATAAAGTCCCGGGGTAAAGGCCGCGGCGTCGTCGTCGTAACAGGATTAATAGCGACGGTGCTCGGGTATATACTCGCTGGTTCAGTGTTCGCGGGACATACGTCGAGTAAAAATAAGTACGTGACGCGAATTTTTTTCGCCCCCGACAAATTGCTCGATAACAGTGCATCAGTATAAAAAGTGCGCTCGCAGTGTGCCCGCCGATTGTCGCACGACAACATAATAAATAAATATATATATATATACATGTACATTATATTATATATAGGTAGTGCTCCTCGTGTAATATACATCGCTCCACATGTCCGGCGGGATAAGTCTGATGCATATCTCCTTGACAAGCAGAAAATTGGAGAAACGTCGCGGACGATTTATGTCTTTTAATAAACGATCCGTTCCCCGCGCAGTGCATTATCATAATAATAACTCGCCGCGGTCGGACGATGCCGCAGTATAAACCGCGGGACGTGCGCATTGCCTACAACAATAATAATATTATAACAATCGTAGGTATAACATAATATTATTACACACGCACAACGGTAATATTTGCAATATATAATATTGTAGTGGAGAATTTATAAAAGGTCGAAGTAAAAAATAATAAATAAGTCCTAAAAAAAAAAAATTGAAAACATAGTATGGACAAATATAATATGCGGTGGCTTGGTGTCTGGCTCCAGTGACTGACGTGCTCTGAGTGCTAGATGCCACTAGTTCCCGGATGGGTGACCACCTAGGTCTTTAGTGGCAAATCCTTGCCTCTCATACACGTGATCTAAACCAACCGTACCCTCCCTACCCCACAGTAATAAAACCTACTGAATTATTGATTTATGAGTTGATTTGTTTCAACTCATAAAGTGTTTTATTAACTCGAATCATCGTATCTTGATATTATGCTAAAAATAAAATGCATTTAAATATTATGCGCCTATCTATTTATTTTACTAATTATAAGACTCGGTTAGAATAAAAAATTATGTACTACCTATCTATTTGGATGGATTTGTCACATTGTTTTACTTTTATTACATTTAAGATAGTTTTCTGTAAAGATATCGTTGAATATACCAATTTTATTAAATTACTTAAATAACTAGGTTGATGTTTTGATGTTTTCGTAACCAAGTAAATAATATTATGTTCATATATTTATTATTCATATACTATTTTTTTTTTATCACAAACATAACGTTTTTAATACATTTTGAAGCAAACGTTCGACGAGTGTTAACAGCACAAGTCTTCTCGTGTACTTCCCATAAAAGTCCAATAGGTTAGGTCCATTAGGGATTTCCCGACAGGAAGCATATTATTTACATTTCCGGATACATTACATAAAAGTCCGATTGGTTCCCAGCTACTTAGGGGAACTTACTATAATCTATAGCATCCTACGTAGTTTTCTCATGGATATCATTATAGGTTAAGGACACTGACATCAGGACGTCTAAAATGGATCTTTGATTTTTCCTGGAACATGGTAGGACTTCTTATTTGTGTAAAAGATTTTTACTGGAATTATGATAATATATATATATGCCTGGGAAAGGTGGCTATTGGTAGCTGAACTTTTAGTATTTATATGAATTTGTAAATACGACTTTTCGGGCTTTTTTTTAAAAATAAGTTACAAACTTGAATAGTTGAATGATAATCATTCAATGGAAACATATGCCTAATTTATATTATATTAATACTGTTTTAATAAAATAAAATTAGCACACATTTGTCACGTGTATTTATTGGAACAGCTTAAGGTATAGCGTACCTATTACCGTATTGGGAAAATTAATTAAAAGAATGATTCTTTTAAACGAGGAATATTTTTGTAAAACATTTGAAACTATGATAATAAGTACAGTTAGTTACCTAGTTATAACTATTATAAGGAGCTATTTTAAATATTGGTGAACGGAAAGGACTGACACTCATGAGTCATGACGTGTATTCCACAAAATGTTGTTCTATTACTTCACTCATCTGTAAATACTTATGACTGATCGTACGAAATTCGATTTTTATATTGTAACATAAAATTAAAAACGTATGTTACTGTCATGAAAAAATTAAAATTGAAAAATTATAATATCAATTTTCAAAAATGTTGTTATTTATTGACTATAATGACTTTACATTATCAGAAAATAAATATTTTCAAAATCGTGTACATCGATAGAATAAATCGTAATGCTTATGTCAAATGGAACAGTAGTAATAAATCAGTAAATCTACAGATTGTCTACAACTATAGGCGAAATTTTCTGTCCTCCTTATAACGACATTATTAGTAGGTTCGGCTCTATTATAATGGTATATTGGTATTACAAAAGTTATAAGTACATTTTGACCGGTTTTACTACAGAAATAACCTATCGTGTTTCGTATCATATTAGTGGCAGACTAGGTAAACCCACTTAAATCATATCAATAATGTTATAATAATATTATGTAGGACGATCTAATTGGATTTTTTGCTCACCTCGTGCTGCTCTCGGATCACTATACATTTAAGCTTCCCGATTTCCAAAAACAATCTGTTATAATAACAACCTGCGCACCACTATATAGTGGTATATTATATAATATGATGGCGACGATGATATTTCGCGATTCTGCGTGTTCTACTTTAATTTTTTAACACATATTTTTTTCTTTCTCTCCGCCGACAGGTTCTCTCCGTACGATAAAGGACATATCCATCAGGGAGATGCTCCCGGACATCAAATACTACATGACGTACGAAGGATCGACCACTCATCCCGGCTGCTGGGAGACGACCGTGTGGATAGTGCTGAACAAACCCATTTACATAACCAGACGCGAGGCGAGTGCATATACCCACTACCTATATAATATGTATATTTTATTATGTGAACGCGCGGTAATGGAAACACGACCGCGGTGGCGGTAGCGGCGGGACACGATTAATTGCGGTGGTGATGCGAGGACGAGCAAACTCACATATTTTGTTTGGTATCCTTTTTTTCGTCAAATTCCTTTCCCGCCCCCCCTCTCTCTCTCTAACCACTCGCTCACTATTGAACTCTTGGTTTCCCTATTCCTCTGCCGCAGGCTTGCTCTGCTGTAACGCTGACTCTCTCTCTCTCTCTCTCTCTCTCTCTCTCTGCCCATCGCACTCATTGCTCTCCGGAACGACGCGTCCCGTTAAAACTGTCGCTTTTGAATTAATGAAAAGGACCTCCTCTTGTAGTGTACGCACGACTTTGCGCGTTGGTTTTTTTTTATTTTCGTTTGTTTATCATTCGAGTAGACACACTAGCCCACTGCACCGCTAGCCGCCTGTATTATATATATTATATTCGCACGAACGAAACCCAACCTAACCCGACCGTCGTCTCGCCGTTGTTTCAGATGTACCACTTAAGGAAATTATCTCAAGGTTCGGTGGAACACCCGAAAGCTCCACTGGGAAACAACTCGAGGCCGACACAGGACCTACGCGAGCGGACTGTCAGGACGAATATTAATTTCGCGCAGAGAACCGAAGCCGATCCACAGGTAAGATTGACGATCACGAGTTTTTGAACAAATGTACATACTCACACACATATATTACATGGCGTTATGTACATATTTACAGATTTATGATACTAACTAAAGGTCGGTCACTAAGCCAAATAAAAGCTTGTGCAATAATCGTATTGCAAAATAATTTTTAATAAATAATAATATATTAATATTAAATTAATTATAATATATACAATTTTTTTTCAATTGACAGTTGTTATTGACAATAGTGAGTGGTGACCATCCCATTCCCCAACTTAGGTATTTATTTGAGGAATTTCTATGACTGTGCAATTATTTTCAAAAAGAAAATTCCCCATTAGTTTTTGACTTTGGTGACGGTCAGAAAAAAATAAAAAAATCACTAGGACAGACATTTTTGTTGGTTCCTTACGTGTAGTAAATTATAATTTTCAAATTGTATTTGTTAAAAAGCCAAGCGATACTGGTGATAGCTACAAATGCATTTAATACGATCTTTGGGACAGTAACACAGTGTTTAATGAAAAGGCGCTTGTTGAAAAAAAATAACAACCAAATGTTTTGTTCAAAAATAATTAATCGTTCCGCGTACGATCCTTGGCAGCGCCGCTGAGCATATCCACTTTCGTAATAATTTATTATTATATCGCGTAACTCGAACACTTAACTTCGGATCATCGGTGAGGCATATACGACCGGTCTAGTGCTCTCGAGTCGCTCAGTCGAACAAAGGCCGCTCAGACAACAATAACGATTCGTCTCGCGTTTAGTAACAAGTATAATGACAGTATATTATTATAATACGATAACGCGATGACGATTGTCATCAGATAGTACATCTACATATATATATGTATACAGTATGCTCCCACCCACCCACACACACACATAATAACACTTACACTTATATACAGGGTGTAACAGATAGAACTGACTTTTGGAATAACTTTTGTTCTAATCAATATTTAAATTTTTTTTTTATATAATATATAATTCATAGTCACATATATTGTACAAAAAGTTAAGTTTCAACACTGAAAATAAAAAAATTTAAATTTGATTTAAATTTTTTTGGAGTTCAAAATAACCAATTTGTGAATCTGATTATAAGAACAATTTTGATAGCAAAAACATTTATCCAAGTCAAGTAGTTTATTTTTTAGAATTTTTTCAAATATCGATTTTTTTTTTTATCGAATTAACTCGGAACGTAATTCCATTTTTTCAAAATATTTTTTTTGAGAATTCGCTGACATGAGTATATTTCTTAATTACTTACTAATCATATAGTTTAAACAATTTTCGTCATACGTTCTTCCGTCAGGTATTTTCGTTACACCTTGTATGTAATATGAATAATACACTCGGTCGCCTACGACGACGGCGGCGTCGAGATTTTGAGGAACGCGAGCGCGCATATCATATAATAATAATATAATATAACTGGTATACAATATGATACGATATCGTGTACACAACCGAATGCCATTAGCGTCGTACGAAATCCGCATACACACGAATAATACAGTGTGAGTGTATATTATATAATATTATTGTGTTGTGATACGATGTCTAAAAGCTTCGGCGGCGCGCGTCGTCGTTGGTAAGTTCCATTGAAATGCCTCCTCTGCCGGTCTGAAATAATATTTATTTTCGTGCCACGTTACGCCGATATTACTGCTGCTGCTGTATACATATCATAATATTATTATCGTCACATTACGCTATAGTGTACGCCGTTGTGCGTATCGGCTGGCAATTCAAAAGCCATTTTCCGCGCCTACGACGAGGCGTGCAGACGTCGTCTTCGCAAAAGCGTTGACATGTTTAGACGAGTTTCGCTAATATTCGCCGCATATTCACCTCCTCCGCCCCTCTTGTCGGACAATTATTTTCGGTGGGCTTTTGACGATTCGTACAGTAGCGGAGCGAAGAGGACGGAAAAAATATCACCTTTTTTCCCCCAAAAATGTCTATTGTAACAATAAATTTCATAATATCAAAATGTTATTACAATAAAATATCTACCTCCTTTAAGCGCGACGTGCTTGTGAAAACAAAGCTATAAGGTTTGATTTTTCTTTAGCGAGTGACCGCGAATACCGTGTAATGCGTTTGTGTTATAGTAATGGTTTAGTATTCAGTAATAAATATTGCGGAAAATAACTCGTCAAAATTATTTTTTAGCGATATTTTACAATAAAATACCTCATACATTTGGTTAGACAAACCATTCTGTTTGTATGCACTTTGAATCACACATAGATTTTTCACAGGACTAACCTACCCGTCATATTTATATCGAGACATGGAGAAATATCGAATGTCCGAAACGACCGGAAATGTAGATTAAAAGACTGCTGACGATGAGGGTGGTAAATGTTATACGACTGGATGGTGGGGCGATAACAAATAAGTACCATAATAAGTATGTTAAAAAAAATCTTCCACGAAACGCCTATGACTTACTTTTGAATAAATCCTTCCTTATTCCTCGGGTAGTTGTCATCTACCAGCAAACATTTCATAATATTATATTATACAAAATAATACAGTTTCTCAATAAATAGTTACCTAACCAAACAGATAGGTATATGTACTTTTGGCGTAGTGAACAAACTTATTCTTATATTAAAAATGTTTGAATTTTCATTGTAACTTTTATCTTAAATGTCTCGATAATAATAATATTGTATAAACCAATCGAGAAGAACAGACGTGTGGTCAAACGATTGGTTGAAATAGCGTACCAGTCCTATGCATTCAATTTAAAAAGTAATGTATGGTACGCTAAAATATATAGTAAAATGGTTTGGGGTACTCAATCGCATTTTTACAGTGCGAACATTATAAACATAAATGCGTAATAATAAAATGTCATAGACGCCTGCCTGTTGATGATCGAAGGTTAAAATATGTAAGTCACACTATTTCTCTAATTTCATCGGAATCCTTGTTTTTTTTTTTTTTGTAAAATTTTGTCGATATTTACCGGTTTAGTTTAATACTATAATATGTACCTATGACTTACCCTATACTGATATTTTTTAATTAAAACAATTAATACCTATACATTACAATCGGTGTATAAATCTTATAAAACATAAGAAATTAAAAATTCATTAATAATTTCGGGACTAAAGCTAGAATATATACATTTTATTGTCCCAATTTGAATTTAAATATTGATGGATACATATAGTTGAAAATCAGTATTGAATATCGGGTCGTATAGACAATGTGTAGTAGTTTAAGTCATAACTTAACCACTTAGGAAATCATTCTTTTAAAAATCTGAACAGGAATCCAATTTTTTCAAAGCTGATTAAAATCGGAAGCGAAATATATATTTTTCTTAGAACCGAAGCTAAACATAAAATAAAAAAAATTTCATATCTCGATCGCTGAATCGGCGTCATGGGCTTTAAAAACCGATGGCCATGGCATAAAACAATACAAACGACAATATTATAACAATACGAATTATACGATATTCCAATTTTTATAACTCCGCGAAACTGTGTATATTATTATAATTAATACATTAATCGTAGGTCCTCTTTGTAAAAAATAAAACACTAACAAACTTCAAACGTTAATGAGCGCCGAGGACCATTGCCTTAATGAATAAATCGTCTGTCGGCTGCCGTACGCATTCATTATTATTTATTAATATTTCCGAAGCGTAACAATTAATTATTACACTTATTAATGTGTCTCGTTTGTTGGGCTGGTTAGTGCAATTGTGTATTGTCCGAATGTTTCTGTAAAGGAAAACGGTACCGTTTTGCGACCTTATTATGTTTTACTACTAATGCAGAGACCATTTTCGGTGTGTTTATTCCGATAATCTTATAATATCATAATACACACAATTAGAACCACCCATATAACAACAACCCTTCATAATTATAGTCGATCAGACGTTTTAGATTCGTATCTAAGTTCCACGCTTCCGATTTTTACCACCCCGTGGGAGGGTACATTGGAATGTTTTATTTTTCGAAATTCGCAACACAATTTAATAAAATATGAACATATTATATGTACCGTAGTGCACCTCCCCATACGGCCGACCGTCGACTGCTTGGTTGGGAGGCTTATTGCTCCCGCGAGCGTAAACATTATAATAGGTATATAATATAACAATATGTGAAAATACTGAATAATGTAGACCGCTCCCCGTCCATATTATTATATTATACGCGTTGTAAAAATAAACCGCGAAAGTTGTTACGATATTTGATTTTTGCATATTTTTCATTATGTTGTTGCTGTGCCCTGAAGTTTAAATTTAATCACGGAGAATAATATTGTTATATCGCATTACACGAGCAAATACTTCCTCCTCCTCCACAAAGTTAATTTAAACGTCGCGTATTTTTAGAACCAACTTATATTTTATGCAGATAAATTAATTTCGGTACTATACATAATATTATATGATGTTATATTATACTGTACAGTTATTGCATTTGGAAGAAAATTTAATATGCACCTATTGTAATAGGTGCCTATATACACAACATAATATTATTACTATGCACGGAGTAAAAATCAAAATTTGATATTATAATATACTCTTTGATACCATAGGTTAACTTTCCTCTAGAACAAACTTTAATAAAAATTTTCCTTCCGACACATAATCAAATTAACGTTCTGCCAACAATATTGTGGTAAATCATTTATTATTTAATTTATTGTTCCTGGAACTGGAAGCTTTGAATATTTCTTACACGTCTAGTCCAGTGGTTGTTTATGCAAAACAGTAACGATCGAACACCGTTCGACCCCTTCGTGATTTATTCGATTCTCGTCTATCTATCACTTTCTTCGATAATAGTTCACCAATAAATAATGTGTTTGGTTTTTATACATATCAAAGTAGGTACCTATACATTGATATTGTTAGGACCACTGGAAATATTTCAAATAAATTCGTTTTGTCGAGCTTTAGTCGCATTTATAGCCATGTTGACAGTAGAATATTTAAATTGTTGGTGTAG